TGTTTTGCTATCTTCTTACTATAGAAATATATCATTATCTTGCAGATTCTGAAGCCGGCATTTACTGTGTTGGTCGATCACAAAACCAAAAGCTTCCTACTACTTATTCGTGGAACTCATAGCGTTAAAGACACACTAACAGCTGTAACTGGGGCTGTGGTCCCATTCCATCACACAGTGGTGTGTGAAGGAGGTGTTAGCAACTTGGTCTTGGGTTATGCGCACTGTGGAATGGTTGCAGCCGCTAGATGGATTGCGAAACTCGCCACTCCTTGTCTTCTAACAGCGTTACACGATTATCCTGATTACAAACTTAAGGTTTTAACATTTTTCTTTTGCATTACATTTCACTTGTCTTCTTCGTATCTTTATGTTTCAAAGGTATATTATAATTGTTTCAGAGTCATTTGCTTTTGAAAATATTTTTTATGGTACATCGTGGTGTCCAACCCTGGCCTAATGCACAAAACCATATTATCTGCATTCATGTATGTGTTTTATTCAGAGACAAACATTTTCTCATTAAAATATTATAAGGTGATGTAGTTTGGACATTAGTCTGTTTTTAGTTTTGCCAGATACTTATCGGATAGAATAGGTATCCTCTCGCCCTATTGGTACTGAGATCTTGTGGCAAGTCAGATTCTGTTGATCTATTAGTGTTGTCAAGTTTTTCTTCTCATGCTCATTCTCATTGCACCTACAAGATCTACTTATTTACTAATTAATTTATTTATTTCTGTATGTTGTTTACAGATTGTAGGACATTCTCTTGGTGGTGGAACAGCTGCTCTTTTGACATATATTTTGCGCGAACGGAAAGAATTGTCAACTTCTACCTGTGTTGCATTTGCTCCAGGTTCTTTTTGTTGATTTTTTTTCCCCTTTGCATTCTGAGCACATCTCTTTACATTTTTGGTTCTGTCAATTTGACACTGCTTTTGTTTTGTGTTCTTTATGCAGCCGCTTGTATGACATGGGAACTGGCTGAATCGGGAAACGACTTTGTAACTTCTGTAATAAATGGGGCTGATTTAGTGCCCACATTTTCGGCTGCATCGGTGGATGACTTGCGTGCTGAGGTATTTCTTTGAGAAAATCTGTATGGATGATATGAGAAATTAATAAAGCTGTCTGCATTTATCTTTAGCATGATTCACGTATTAAACAAAATACATATGAGTGATTTGTTTGGTGCTGTGAGTAGTCAGAGTTGATGCTCTGTATGAAGATTTGTGTTTGGACTTCGAGATGATTAGTGCCTTAATCGTGTTGAGCTAGTTTGTTTGTCTTTTTCTTTCCTTGACATAGTTTAATCATTATTGTCTATTGAGTAACTATTACCCATTTTTGTTAAACGAGTATAAAACTATACTCGAAATTTAGTCTTGTTACAGAAAACTCCAATTATCTTCCAAATTTACTTTAGCCTTAGGGTAGATGTTGCAATAACCCCAGATGAATATTTTCTTAAAAGGTTCTTTTCTTGACCAAATGACAATCGTTTGTAGGTCACAGCATCTGCTTGGTTGAATGACCTGAGGAATCAAATAGAGCGCACGAGAATACTTAGTACGGTCTATCGATCAGCTTCAGCATTGGGTTCTCGTCTTCCTTCGATGGCCACCGCCAAAGCAAAAGTTGCTGGCGCTGGTGCCATTCTACGTCCCGTCTCTAGTGGCACTCAGGTATTTGCTTTCCGTTGGCCAAATATGATTGAAAACAAAAACTATCTCCAACTCTCAACTGTGAACCAAGACATGCTTTGAGAAATGCAGGTGGTGATGAGACGAGCCCAGAGCATGGCCCAAGCCGCATGGTCTCGGCCCAACCTCGGCCTATCCTCATGGTCCTGCATGGGCCCCCGTCGCCGGCCCGCGGGCTCACAAACCGACCGATCAGAGCCCCTCATCTCCCCCACCGCCGACAAAACTGTCCCCGTGGCCAAAACTGACACTCAAACCCCTAAATCATCCGAAATTGCCCTCGCGGACGATGACGACATCGATGATGACGTCATCGATCACGAGGACCGCATGACGGAGGTCGAGCTGTGGCAGCAGATCGAGCGCGAGCTGTACGAAAATGAAGAAGTCAACGAGATGGTCAAAGACGAGATCCGTAAGGACGATGAGGTGGCGGAGGAGGTTGTTATGGATGGTGGGTCGGGAGGCGGATCGGTTCCCAATGCAAAGGAGGTGCATCGGTTTTTTCCGGCGGGGAGGATAATGCACATCGTGATGGTGGTGAGAGAGGAGGAGGATGATAGGGAGGGCGGTGGTTCGCCGGAGGATGGAGGAGAGGGCGGTGGTGGTTCGCCGGAGGATGCGCGAGAGGGCGGCGATGGTTCGCCGGAGGAGAGGGTGGCGATTTTCTTGACTCCGAGGTCGTTGTACAGCAAGCTGAGGCTGTCGCAGACGATGATTGCCGACCATTTCATGCCGGTTTATAGGCGGCAGATTGAGAGGCTGATTAGGGAGCTGGAGGGTGGGGGAAGTTCTTCCGGTGGAGGTGATGAAGTTCATTAGGGAA